ACTTCATCATAATTCGCAATGAAAAGTAATAATTTGTTTATTTACACACGCGTTTCGAAAAAACTCAAAATTGACAAGCGCGCGGACAGCTGCGCATCGACGAGTCGACCGCACTTCGCCGTACACGTTTCTGCCGTTCCGTTGGGACTCGAACCGAGCCTGCCCATACCATTCAAATTCCGATTCCGGCGAATGTCGTTGTTCCAACGTACTAAGTTCGAAAGTTGCAAAGCAAGGTCATTGCATAAATAACTTAAAAGTTTTACAATACAATCATAGGTGGCGCTTTTTTAAAGGATAATACTAATTTGTTTAAAATTGAGTTTCAATGAAAATAGTTTCGTTTACCATTTTTGAAAAGTTGACTTTATGCAATAATTTCAATTTCATTAACAATTCTATAATGTTTAGAATCTTTTCGAAAAATACTTTTGTGTTGACATTTATTTTGAGTTTTAAATACACCTAGTGACATCTTTTGAATGTGTGTAAATGAAATGAATGGGTTTTCTTAAAAATGCGCTTGATGCCGCTGTAATACAAAAAGTAATGAGCCATTTGTACTTATGGAAAGTGTCTTGTCACGTAAAGTAGGGAAGAAAAGTAAAAATCAGTGATTTCAAAACAATTAAATCAAAACTTAGGACCAAAAAGTCAATGAAAAAAACTAAAGTATCGTAATATAATTAGAAGGTTTGAAAAGGTTGATTGGATGGCCCGTGCGGAAACGCATTGGCAGTATCCGTAACAAATCAGAATATCAGCATATCCCTCATCATTGGTCTTCATCTTCATCAGTATCCGAAGTACAAATCAAAGTCCTAGCAATAGTTAATCACGAATAGAATAGGAAACAGTCCAAAAATACAAGCAAAGTTTTTTACTAGGTACTACAGGGCCATACGATAATTCTTGATACTCTCGGTCATTCATCCAGGTTTTTGTTATGAATTCTCATACCATCCTAGACTCACGTTACGTTACAATACGTTATTTTTTAACATATCTACAACTTAACTGTCATAGTTTTTTTTTCAAAAATTGTTCAAAGAATAAAATATTATTAACAAATTTCTTTCATTTTCAAATATCTTGGCCTCTTAATCAATAATAAAATATTCTACCACATTCACACAACGCCATCTAGTCCCAAACTAAGCAAAACTTGTACAATGGGTACTAGACAACTGATATAAATACATTTATACTTTTTATTTTGTAAATACATACTTATTATACGTAGAAACGTTTAATGTTTGATTTGGTCTGGGTGTTTCTGGGTGTGTGTTCATGCACACAAATCGTGTATTCGTGACTTGAGCGGGAATCGAACCCGCGACCTTTGGAATAGCAGTCCGTTGCACAACAAACCACTACGCCATGATCAGATTCAGATCAGATGAATGGCCAGCGGTACTTGAATTTTTTGCGGTCGGATCTGATCTACAGGTACTTATACTTGAGTTGGAGAATAATTTGGCTCATGAATTGGATCAAATGGAAGATGTTCCTATTGGCCGATTGCCTAGAATTTGGTTCCAGCATGACGGTACGGCGCCGCACGTCGTGGGACCAGTGCGCTTCCATTTGAATGAGTCGTTCCTTCAAAGGTGGATCAAGATTCAAGTGAACGGGCTGGCCATGCGTGAGGACTTGACACCTTTAGACTTTTTTTTATGAAAATACATAAAAGACAGAGTATTCGTGAATAAGTGTGACTCTCGAAAGAGACGCGTTTTAAGTACTAAATTGTGACACCGTAGAAGATCCCACGATGATGCCTCGCCTCTATGCTGTGATATTGCACCATATTGAGTGAGTTCAAGGTCGCCGCATCTCATAAGAAGCGTGAGACTTAAGGGTATTCTGCAAAGCATGGTTCTGATTTTATTTATTGACTAGCTGAGACCGGCGGTGTTACCCGCGTTTGTTGTTTTAACCGCGGGCAACGCCGCGGGGCGAAGCTAGTCTAAAAAAGTAGCCTAAGTTACTCCTTATGTCATCAGCTATCTGCCAGTGAAAGTCCCGTCGAAATCGGTCCAGCCGTTCCAGAGATTACCCGGAACAAACAGGCAGACAGACAGACAAAAATTGTAAAAAATGTTATTTTGGCATATGTACCGTGTAAACATACATATGCATTTAGTAAAAAGTGGTTATTTTAATATTACAAACAGACACTCCAATTTTATTTATTTGTATAGATATAAAAACTGTGCATATATGATAATCACTGTGTCTTAAAACACTGTAAAAAGGCAAGCCTCGGATTCAAGTAGATTGGTGCTAGAATAAATATCGTAGAAATTTTTGTGTGTGAGAAGAAACTCTGTGTTCAATAATACCACCACATCATTCTAGTAGTATTGTTTAATCGCGATCTTCTGCAGGCTGAAGGTATTGGACCTATCGGGCTACTCCGCTCCAAGCTTAAATCTGCTTTTGATTTACTACATAATGAATTGAAGCATCATCGTCACATGTGTAATATTTAGAGTTAATTTATTTATGGTTAATTCTAGTAAGTTACAAAATAATGAAGTTAGAAAGGTAAGCTTATTTTATGTAGGAGGTAAATTGGACTGAACCACAATTTAGATTCCATAATACTAATTAATCTTTTTGGTTGCGGTTCAGCGCCTTTTATCTAGGTAGAGTTTGTAGACTCGGTTGCAAGTAGGTACTTATGTTAACGCGCGAGCGAGCGGTCGGCGACTATATAATAATACGAGGGCGGGTCAATAAGTCCGTGACTTTTGGAATAAAACACAGATTTTTTGATAAATAAATCATTTTATTTTTCAACGTAGTCTCCCTTGAGCTCTATACACTTTGTCCAACGCTTCTCCAATTTTTTTATCCCTTCCAAAAAATATGATTTGTTGAGGTCCTCAAAATAGGCCTTTGTTTGCGAGATGACTTCATCATTGGAGTCAAATCTTTTTCCACCAAGCCATTTCTTCAGGTTTGGGAACAAGAAGTAGTCACTCGGAGCCAAATCTGGAGAATAGGGCGGATAAGGGAGCAATTCATAGCCCAATTCATGGATTTTTGCCATGGCAACTGCACATGTGTGCACATGTCTGCCTTGCATTGTCTTGGTGGAAAAGAACTTTTTTCTTGGCCAAATGAGGTCGGTTTTTTTTTCAAATCGTTATTGAATCGGTCCAATAAGTTGGCATAATATTCCCCATTGATTGTTCTTCCCTTTTGAAGGTAGTCAATGTGGATTATCCCGCGTGCATCCCAAAAGACAGTCGCCATAACTTTATTGGCTGACAAACCCACCTTGGCCTTCTTTGGCGCCGATTCACCCTTAGAAACCCACTGTTTTGACTGTTGTTTGGTCTCTGGTGTGTTGTGATGGATCCATGTTTCGTCCACGGTTACAAAACGGCGCAAAAACTCCTCCATATTGCGATTAAACAACGCCAAACCTTCCTGTGAAGTTGTTACACGATTGCGTTTGTGGTCGACTGTGAGCAATCGCGGCACCCATCTTGCGGAAAGCTTTCTCATGCCCAAGTGATCATTCAAAATTGAAACCACTGAGCCATGCGAGATCCCTACGGCTTCCACAATCTCTTGCACTTTCAATCTTCGGTCGGCCAACACCATATCGTGAATTTTTTTGTCCAGGACGTTCGGCATCTTCAGTGCTTGTACGGCCACAACGAAATTCAGTAAACCACTTTTTTACCATTGAAATCGATGGTGCAGAGTCCCCATGGTATTTATCAAGCTTAGCCTTGGTCTCGGTAATGGTTTTTTTTCGCAAAAAATAATGCTTAATAAGCACACGAAATTCACTTTTTTCCATTTTTTCCTCAAATTACTGGGTAGTCTGATAAAGATAGCTGTCAAACACAAACTAACTGACGCAGCAAGTTCAAATTTTGACAGGAGTCAACTGACAGATGCCTGTTGACAGGAGTAGTGTTGCTTTTTCAGTAAAGAGGTCAGAAATTCAAAAAGTCACGGACTTATTGACCCGCCCTCGTACAATAATAATAATAATCTTTATTTTCATAAATAACCTTTAACAGTTTTCTTATATATATATACATAAACGTACAAGCATCTTAACAATTAAAGGTTACACCAATAGAGTAACCCTAACTCCCAAACTAGGTGTTCCTGTGACTTGGGAGTTAGTGTTCTGCTGTTATAGAGACAGATTGTAGGCTTAGAGGTTAGAAATATAATGCGATGTATGCGCGCGTATAGCTATACTGTGGCTATAGATAACGAGTAACTGTACATTGTGTTGTACAAAATAGAACTAAACACTGTAAATCCTTATCTTTCATTTTTATGATGAACTGATTTTTGCATCGTGACAAGTATCAGCAGAAAGACGTTTTAGTTTTAGTATCGGTTCGGAAAGCGTGAGTTAGGTATATCGAAATGAATACACATATTTTTTAAGAATGTATTTTATTTCATTTACAAAATGTAAATTTAAAAGAAGAATAAACCAACAGGAAATCTCTATAGTAAAGTTTTGTAGTCCTGTAGTCCTGAATGGATAATGGTAAATTATGGAAAATACTACACCTAGGTACCCTTATTTTTTTATTTTGAATAAAAAATATAGTATTTGTGACCTCTATTAAGTAACTATTCAAAATCCAAAGCAACTTTTGAAAAAAGCAATGGATATAGGCTCGCCGTTGTGGTCGCGGGTTAAGCTAGGATAGAGGTACATTTTGAGACGGAGCCCGAAACAGGAGCGGGCCGGCGCTGGGAGGGGTCCAGAAGGCGATAACTACCTGGACCCCTCCTAAACTGGAAGCGCAAAGAGGGCACACCGTGTGGTTTTAGTCGGCTCGAGTCCGACACACCGCCCCGCCGAACGAGAGCCCCGGCGGGGTGACGGTCCGAGGGGATTTCCACACGTAAAAAAAAAAAAAGGATAGAAGTACATTATAATTTTTATAAATTTATAATATAAACGTAGGTTTAAAATAAATAAAAGAAAAGTACACTTGGTAAATATTTCATTCTTGGCTATTTTTATTCCAGAATAGTTGCAAAGTTTTGGCGAGGGCGGCTGCACCATAAACGGCGAACTTCTGGAAGTACGGTTCTTGCTCGAGCTTGGAGAACCATTCGAAAGTGCGAGGGTACCTGAAGATAATGGTTTAACTGTTTGACTGTTTTTGTCATGTTCTTAAATAGAATCACCAAACAATCAATCCTCAACAATCTTAAAAAACAAATTGACACTAACCTTCAAATCTTTGGTTTTACTTAATACACATGAGACTAATGAAAAATAAATGCCGTTTGCATTAATTTTTTTTTTTCTGATTGCTGTTACAATACCAAGAAAGTGTTTAGCGGTACGGCTACCGCTAAACACTTTCTTGGAGCTCTTAATACTTTTAATCGAGTTAAAAAAGGTGTAGCTTTCAATTAGATTATATTTATTTATGTTTGTTACCTTTGAAATCAATGTCATTTATTAATTTGCAACATTAAAGAAGTTTAACATGGAAATAGTTAATTACTATGACTTTCAATCGTACAAACTTTATGATTTTGGTTTAGCTTATGCTAGGGGTGTAAACAAATACGTTACTTGTTAGCATCCAGTTTCAATATCCCTTGCATCCCGGCGGTAGTGGCCCCGACTGACAGGTCGGCAATAGTGAACTCATCACATGCAATGTACTGGTGCTTGGACAAATATGCCTCTAAAAAACTATACGCCTCTTCGATATCCGATAGATGCTTCTCAGTGGGACTTTTCATACCTTCCATTATTGTTGGCAACTGAAATAAAAATCAATTATGCAGATAATAAAGACTGGGAACGCTATCCTACCTACTTATTAAGCTATTTACGAGACAATTAACGGTATATAACGCTCATTTTAAGTGCTTTTGCCGCTAGTAAAAAAATCTTTTCAAGAAACGAAATGTCAAAGAAGCTTTTAATGTGAATCAAATAAAATTATGAAGACGACTTGAGTAAACACCTCAAAACACCGCCGCGTCTTCCTAATACTGTTGTTTTTACTGGTAGTTCCTTTATGCATAAAATGATACTTTTCATAAACTTCGTTTACAATACATCGCCAACACACCGGGACCACCGGTAAACAGTGTTTCCAAAAGTCCTTTTAAATTTTAATGTTAAAAAAGTGACGAAAATGTGGCTATGAAATATATATCATCTAAATCTTTTTTGCCGATAAACAAGCAATCTAGCTTAATTATGACTCCCAGGGCCTCGAAATTTTTTACTGTTTGTTTTTCAGTAGCATTACAAGAGCCGAAGATGTCTGATAGGCAAGAGAAGGCTCGCCTTATTTAACAAAAACAGCTGACGACATGTGATTATGTCGTAAACCTTTACTTCATTGTTCGAGTTCAGTATACATAAGCTCACTCACTGCAACAACTTTGAGTCTGATGAAATAGACGCTGGCATCAAAGAAGAGGATCTGGTTGACAGCAGCGCGCATGTGCGGGTCGCTTGGGTACAGCGCCTCGCTCTTGTCTCCGCCATATTTCGACAGCAGATAGATCATTATAGCATGGCTGTCTGATAGCACAAAATCACCGTCAACCAACACCGGGATGGTACCCAATGGGTTCAACTGTAAATAAAACCTCTTTTAAGCCTATAGACCTAAACATAGTATCCCTGGCCTTATTAAGTTTCGCTCAAAGTAAGTTAACGTAGTTTGTGATAAAAGTTAATAGCTTTTCAAAAAATTAAGTTCCCCCGAATGCATAAGTGCAGTGAGCACTTATGCATTCGGGGGAACTAGCTTCCGAAACATTTCAAAAAATAGCGATGTTCTACTTTTTAATAATGCTCCGACCACAAAAAACTTTTGTGATCGGAGCATTACTAAAAAGAACAATATATAAAAGTAAATTCTCCTTCAAAAACTCATTGCGCGGAATATTGGTTCGTGAAAACATCTATTGACTGATCTGATGAAAGGGTTAACATTTCAGTTATTATTAGTTATTAGTACTAAGTACAGTTTCTAAGCTAAGCCGTGGACTGACGAACGGACAGACAGACAGACGCATATGGCGAAAATATAAGGGTTTCTTTTCCAGCTTTCTATAAGCGGTTTGAAGTCTTCAATGCTAAAACGTACTGATGGTAATTATTTATATTTTCCTCAATATACCTTGGTGTACTCCGGAGACTTATGCTCTAGTTTAACAAAGTCGACAGTCTTCAGGTCGAGCTCCAATCCGATGATGTCGGCGAGCATTCGCACGGTATTGGCAGCAGGACTGCCGTCCAACTTGTATAGTATCGGCGCCATTTAACTGTAACGGGCATTCATTACGTACACTGAATTATTAGATAGACTTAGACTGGTATACAACCCTAGTATATTTATTTACTTATTTATGGAATAGGACGAACGAGCCTACTGGTCACCTGATAGTAAGCAAGTATTGACACTCAAGACACAACTCAAGGGACATTAATGCGTTGTCACCCTTTGAGAGCCGCACCTTCCAAATTACAACAAAATATTTGTTTGGCTGGCATGGCTCTTACACGATAATGTAGTCAGCATGAGTCGATATAAGTAAATATATTTTTATTTTTGAAATTGACACATATGTACCTACCCAATGTTATTTTCGGCAATTAAACGTAGATAACACAAGGAAATGGTAATTTGGGGTAATGTTTTTTCCGTTTAAGCAGGGTCACGCCGTAATAGTATCCAGATATTAAAATAAGATAAATAATTTAAAATTATTTCTTTACTTACCAATATACTGTTGCAGTGTTATGGTGTCTGATGCTAAACTGGTACTAACTTATAGCTAGACAGTTCGTTGTAAGTGTGATATGGTGGTGTGTGGATATGGTGTATAAATAATGGGTTATATATTTATCTACCTACCTGTCATTGACGTGCGTTTTGAAATGATAAGGCATACATTATCTCTAAGTGCAAAGTACTTAATGATGTACTACAGAGTTAACAATAGCCAATAAAGCCATATTCGAGGTTTAAATAACGCGATATTTTTTTACTAATCAAGAGTATCCGTAGTTCTTCTGGTTTATTAGAAAAGTGTTTGTATAAAAAGTGGTAGGTACGTAGTTTGATGCTCGAAATTTGAAAATGGAATGCGTCATATTATTAAAAGGTAGTTTATTGGAAAATCGAACACAAAAAGCCATTTAAGTACAGCAACAAAAAGAAAAAAATAGAATTATTATACTGTCATAATTTCCCGCTTTTTCGTCTGCTACAATAGAGCTTAAACGTGAAAATTTGGGTGCCATGATATATTACGATTTTAAATGTGAATTATCTGGTAACTTGGAACGTTTAAAACCAGCTTTAGGTAACCACTTTTAAATGGTTTAACGAATTTAAAAGGGGGAAAACTAGTCTTGAAGATGATGACAGAAGTGGACACCCGCCAACAGCAGTCACTGCTGAAAATGTGTAGACTACTGCAATGCATGTGCGAGATGACCCTCGAATTATATACAGAGACATTCAAGACGTGTTTCTAAAATCATTAGGTACTGTCGACAATGATGCTGTACCACGACAATACGTCTTCACACTCTTCCCCCAAAACAAAGGCGTTTGTTCAAGAATCTGGTATTGAAACCCTACCTCACCTACCTTACCAGTCCCGGCTTAGCTCCTGGTTACTTCTTTTTATTGCCCACCATAAAAGATAAGATAAAAGGCAAGTTTTTTCAAGTGCCGAAGAAGCGGTGGCTGCCTACGTATTAGCCATTTTTGACTTGTCAGAGGAAGCCTGAAATAAGTGTCTTCAAGACTGATTTAGGCGGATGGAAATTTGTATACAGAGTGATGAAGAGTACTTTGAAAATAATACAATTTAACTTGTAAGTATATATTGTTTATTATTGTGTCTCAAAATTTATATAATGACCTAGGTAATACCTATAAATTATTTTTTGATCTTCATAAATATTATAGTGTAGTTGTTAGAACGTGTTAACTGCTTTTTTTTTGTTATTGTATGTAATTCCATACTTTAATTAAAAGTAATGCGAATTTTGCTAGCTTTGAGAATTTTATTGTAAATCTCCATTAAATATTTCAATGTATGATAAAATTCGTAAATACATAGTTATAAAAATACTAATTTTATTTGGTGCTTAGAAACGAATGCATTAATATGCTTCATAGAATAGTTTTCAGGAAGATAGCTTAGTTTTATTACTATATATATATTATAAATTTGCTCTAATGAGTAGTCCAACTGTTCAGGGGTGGAGAGCAGGGCAACCGCCCAGGGCCTGGCTTATGCAGGGGCCCCACGAACGCGCGCAACAACCCAACGTCTTATGATTTTATGTTGGAGCAGCAGTGTGTTGCAATGCATTTTTTTGTGAGAAGTATCATCATTAAAACTAATTCCACAAAAACTAGTTGCTCGTAATGATCTACCAGTCGGGGCCTCGCGCTGATCTACCTAACTGGGGTCTCGCAATAGCGAAGACCACTTCCACTGTTTCTGCAACTCTTATACATTTCTTTAGGTGATTTTCAAAGATGAAAATGAGGGATGATTAATAAATATATTTACAAAACGAAACTATAAAAATAGTTTATTAACAATTTACAAATCATTACCTTCTTATACATATTCATATTTACAAACGGTTTTAAAATTGTCAAGAGATGGTGTCCAAGAATTCTGGTATTTTATAAAATAGATTGAAATACATACTAACCAGAGTCGGGTGATGATCTTATACACTTTTAAACATACATAAAAAGCACATACAGTGGAATATAGGACCTCCTCTTTTTAGAAATCGGTTAAAAATAAATAAAGTCTGTCATAGACAAAAAGTAGACAACATACCTTTTATTGTAGGCAACTCACGCATTTTATAAGAAACTTAAAAAAGAATCAACATAATTATGTAACGCTCATAACTGCTAAGATAAACATGATAATGGAGTTCTCAAAATAGATAATTATTAAACTAGATATTAAATAGCATCACTAACCTCTTTTATTTCGTGTTAACTTTAAATTACTCAACTTTTTGCGATGACACAACCTCTACAGACTAAGCACAATAAACAACTAATGTAGCATACATACAACAGTCACGTACATAAAACAGTCTGCTTAGTGTCAAATAGTTTGGGAACTTAATGGTCATTGACAATATACTTCATTAATAGCCTTTAATAGTCCACTGCTGGACATAGGCCTCTCCTTTGAAAGGAGGTTTTGGCCTACTATACCACGCTGGCCAGACGGGTTGCCATAGGGTTTGTTTCAAGTTTTCCTTCTCTTTGCAGTGTTGTTGTCCTAGGTAGTTTGTTACCTTAGTCAGCTCTTACGACACCCACAGGATAAACCCACACGAGTATTCTTATTTCATTACATTTAATAAAATCTATTATTCAGTTTCCAGAACTTAATTACTTTAAAGGAAATATATTTTTCCATATTCCCATTTGATTTGCATCGTTTGACGGTGCCAGATGTGTGATCTGGAATAAATCTAGAACATTTAAAATAACACTGGCAACGGCCAAACTGTAGGTACGCTACATTAATGTAATGCACAGATATTGAAAAATCATTCTAAATCGTATTTCAAGACATTATACTATTTTATTAAATAATTTATCTGAAAAATTCAATTCAACTAGTCAATACAAACGTTATACATTCAATTCAACTCACTAAGTTGTATTTTAAAAATATACATTAAATAATAACAACTTTAAAACTAGGAATAGAACTTCAAAAGTAACATTCAGTTAGAACTTTTAGGACACCACATTTATTCATATCGTGGTAGACAATTTACTCAGTTCTACAAACAACAGAAAAAAATGCATTACAATGTCAATAGATAAAGTATTTTTTAGTTTTCACACAGGTAGCTTTGTCAGTGTGAAGAAACCCTGGTAAGTTAGATATCTCTCACTTTCCAGTTCCTATATCTAGTCTACCAGCGGTACTATTTGCTTAATCAAATTTGTTTAGCAAAGCTCGAGAATTCGCAGGCTTATCGCAACACCGAACGCGGTCACCGTGACTATCGAGTTGATGTGAAATAGACACACACTCGGCCTCCTGTATGTGGATGTGCGGGAGGAAGTTCGCCGCCTCTACTGCACGGTGATACAATCCATGTTCCTCTACGGAATGCCGATATGAATCAAGCGCTCCCACTGCCGAGCTAAGTTCATCCAAGCGCAGCGGCTAGCGGCCATTACGATCGTACGAGGTTCCCGCACTATGACAGTTTAAAATGGTCGAAATATGACCACCAGGTTATATTTAGCATACAATTAATACCTTCCACCAAATTCACCGTCAATCAAACACAATAGTTGTAATAAAATAACTGGCTTTCAATCCTGGATAACTTTTCTTCATGGCTTAATTGTTCAGATGTAATCTTTGGACTTTTCCCAGCACTTCTGAATACAGACATACTCTCTTATTATATGGCCATAGATGAGCAACTGTTACAGGTTGGGTAGCTTGTGGTACTCTTTTATTTCCATTGCTTTCAGTGTGTTCATTTGGCTTGAGATGGTTCAGATCATGTGGAGTCCGTCGGTGGGAAGATTTCATTGACGAGGGTTATGATATTGCGGACATCATCTTCTGACAACCGCTCCTCACTCTCTTGAACAATCTGTAACATTCAATTGTATATGTAAAATATCTCAAACTTATTTAGTAATAGATACAATTTCTTTGTCGGGGCAAAATGAACAACAAGACAATACAAAGAATAACCAATAAGCAGTTTTGACAGCAAATTTATACTAATATTAAAAATACGAAAGTGTGTCCGTCTGTTACCTCTACAACCATAAACCGCCAAACCGATATAGATGAAATTTAGTATGGAGATAGTTTGATTCTTTTCTTAATGTGTTTATAAGCAGCCTGGTAACCATAGCACAGGCTCTGCCTAGTTTGGAACATAACTGTGTTGTCTGAGATGTGTGAAGTTATTATTACTATAAATAATTTAAAAAAAGTTATTAACTACTTCAATATAGTTAACCCTTTGTGTCCATGGACAATCTCTTAAAATTTACCTACCAGGGTTGTAAACACGAGAAGTCGATTGTTTATGACACTCCCCGTGAACAAACTGCTACGTACAGAAGGCTAATTCTTGTAATAAAAGTTCGATCAAAATTCTGTTCTGATCAACTCTCGATCACAACAGTCATAAAAGGTATTTTCATAATAAAGTATAAAACATCCAACGTTGTCTGCAATGTGATTTTATCCTATTGTGAGCGAAAATTGAATCGGTAATCTGATGTAGTAATACTATATGTGTAATCTATACAAATAAATAAAATTGGAGTGTCTGTTTGTAATATTAAAATAACCGCTTTTTACTAAATGCATATGTATGTTTACACGGTACATATGCCAAAATAACATTTTTTACAATTTTTGTCTGTCTGTCTGTTTGTTCCGGGTAATCTCTGGAACGGCTGGACCGATTTCGACGGGACTTTCACTGGCAGATAGCTGATGACATAAGGAGTAACTTAGGCTACTTTTTTTAGATTAGCTTCGCCCCGCGGAGTTGCCCGCGGTTATAACAACAAAAGCGGGTAACACCGCGGGTCTCAGTTAGTAAATACTAATAGTGAGTGAACTCAGCTACTAAGAGGAGCAATGGGAGCGGTATGAATGAGAGCGGTGTCCCCCTCCTGTAGGCCACGTCTGCGGTAGTACCGGCCGGCCTCGCTTACTAACCGATACGCGATAAATATAACAGTACTGTGGGTTACTCAAATAATAAAAATATTGTGAGTAATATTATGTTGCCCAAACGCGTGCACTGATATATGTGACACTCCTAAGCGGGAGTGTCACAAACATCATCATCACAATATTTTCATTATTTGATTAACTCACAGTACTGTTATCTCTTTACTTTACTCATAATGTAATATAAGAGAAACAGCGTATAATAAACTCTCGATGTTTTGGTGGTTTAATATACATTTAGATATATTTACATTAATATCGTGATGGAAAGCTGTAGCAATCACATGGTTATAAGAATTCAAGTTTACCAAAATCTTTTCCTAATATTTTCACCAACTGAAATCACGAAACGAAATAAAATATATAATTTTAATCTGTTTTAATTAATTTGTTCAACCTTTTATATAATATTTTAAACGGAATAGGAACCCGAGATACTGCTATATACGTAAAATATAGTTAAATTAGACAAGTACTTTTTTTACAACTCCTCTGGCTAAAACCTCATTTCTAAGGAGAGGCCTATGTCGAGTAGTGGACTATTAACGATCACGATCATAGGTACGTCATCATCAACAGTGATGACGTACCTATGATCGTGATCGTTTTAGTGACAACCCTTGCACATTTTCAGTCGAGACAGTCTATCAAAGGAGTTGATTCATTATTAGTATTTATTACACATACCGGATTACTTTACTATTTTACTACGAAAATACCTTTTATGATAGTTGCGAGATCTAGAGTTGATGGGAACCTAATTTGGACCTTAAGTTTAAGTTTTATTACGAGATTTGGCCTTCAGAAGCGTAATGAGCTTCAGAAACACAATAAAAAAGGAGCATAATTAAAACAGTTTTTTATTTTACTTGATCTACGGCCAGTGCGCTTAAAGCGCCATCTGTTATTGAGTAGTAGAACTAACATTACAACATACCACTATATTATAGATCTACATTATTAATTAATTTGTATTTCCTTCATGGGCACATACCAGTTGAATCTCCAATTCAGTTCTAGGCGGCGTGTTAACCATCATCAACTTCTCTGTCTTAGTCAACTTAAACTGTTTCATAGCATCTAGGAATTTCTGTATTGATTGAGCGCTTTGATTTTTACACACTGTATCTTGAAGATAATGGACAGTCTGAAAATAAAATAAGTATATTTATTTATATAAAACAGGTACCAAAACAAAGAACAGATTATGTAACACAAATAGTGGTAATTAACATATATTTTATGAACCTGACATCCTATGATATATGTACACATCAGTTGTTTTCTATTTTTTTCCCTCAAACATCAAACACACGGCACTGTTATCCCAAACTAGGCAGAGCCTGGACTATAGCAAAATGACTGCTGGTAAACATAATTCTATATTTCTAAAGTCAAACAAATTACACGCAGACACAAAATAACTTTGTTATTGACAGTAGCACAAGGACATCAAGTCGTAAGGACAAGTAGGATGAACACTAAACAAATAGTCTACAACATAGACAGAGTGAGACTACAGTATACATGCCATAGACATTCTTAAGAGTCAGAAAAAATATGGAATGTTAGAAATGTGCATAGTAGTAACACACAAAAGTATACAGTAAAGGTCTAAGAGAATTATTCTGTCTTTTTGTGTAAACATTATAAAGTAACAAACAATATGCCACATCTTTGCACAGGAGCACATACTAGTTTTGCGGTCATAGCCAAATTAGCCTCAAAGAACCTTGGTGCATAGCACAAATCTTGGCAGTATTTTACTCCAGAACATTTCTCTGGACCGCATGCATCGATCGTAGATTTACGATTGACTTAACCCCTTGGCGTTGTGCAGAGATGTAGCTTCACTCTGCATTCTCTATCGCTTGTATCAAGGGGAGTGGTCTAAGGAATTGTTCAGACTAATACATGGGCGGCGGTAGTCACTTACCATCAGGGCCTTAATTCTGCTACTTTATGCTAACGTACAAGCCATTATCATTCCATTGACACGCTATTGATTGTACTCGAGTTCATCACATTCATACCAATAATTAAAAAGACAGGAAGACGAGGGACATTTTATTTTACATTGACAGTTGCTTCAATATAAAATAAGTTCAGCAATGATGAATACGCAACAAAGAACAGACGGAAGGCATCATATAAGTAATAATAAGTATTCAGTTCAGATAGATTACCTCATAAGTAACAGTAGCCAAGGACCCTTCACGTTTATGTTTTTTCTGTGTGTTGTCTTTGAGTTTTTGCAATACTAGCATCACTTCATTGTTGCACAAGAATGCAGCATTAGGTTTTATACTGAAAATAATAATAATAATATGATTAATAAAACATGACAAGAATTAAGCTTTTGAGTTCATTGAGTGTTAACAGACATGACTGAACTGACTAGGACATATGAAGACAGTAGTTGCCATGAGTACCACCTTACATTCTAATTTTAGTACGTTTTTTTAAATATTACGATTGCGAGAAACTAGGTAACTAGAAGGTAAAAGTCGGAAACTTTTTTTAACACTTTTACAGCTTTGACAATCTACTTAGATCAACTAGCGTCTTGGTCTAGGGGCTAGTGACCCTGACTGCTAAGCCACAGGTCGTGGTCTAGCCGAATTTCATCTAATCTTACTTTGAGAAAACTGGGTTAAATTAAGTAAAACATGTTCCTCCACAGCAATATGGCCAAATCTTATTCAATAATATTTACTAGCCTACTTTCCAAGCAATCCGAAATACTAGTCTGAACCAGTCTTAAATAAAAATACTAAGCAAATATTTTTTCAGCAAGATTAAATCACTAAAAACACTATTTCAAAAATCTCACTTGAGATAGGGGGGAGTGGGTATAAATGATTTACTGAATAATGTTATGTATAGCTGGTCCTTCATTTCTTTGCAGTGTTACCCATAAATTCAATATTAGAATCTGAGTGAGTGACAAATATTATTCATGCATACTTTATAGCGACCCTATGGTTATAAAATGAATATCATCTATGTTAAGAATGTTTATACAACAGAGGCCACTACATTCAGGCAAGCAGTAGTCTCCTTAGCAAGGAGTGCCATGAGTTTGGTTATTTCCATATATACTATTAAAGGACCAGATTATATCCAACACCATGGGACCCGAATGATGCAGGTAAGTATCTGCACTCGATCACTATGAGGGAATTGAGTTACACCGCTGCAAATGCAGTGAGGGCTCGGCTCAGCACATACTGGCAATTGGCATCACCGCATTGTAGCGTTGGGTCCTCATTGCAGCCATCGGAAAGGATCTCTCACTACGGGCCGTCATTTGTCACATTTACATACGCAATTGTATATTACTGCCATCCTCAGCAATAATACTAGAGTATTTTACCTAAAATCTAGTTATAGTGTACGTTGTTGATACATTTTTTGATTGCACCGCATATGGCAGCTGCGCAAATCTTTTTTATTTTGATAGTTAAAATTATCAACTTAATGAGTTAGAAAGGAATCTCATTTACTGCTGTACTCTGTACTGCTGGGAGGACCCACCTGTTATGCATATTATGGTTTTCATAGTTGTGTTCAGTTTTGGCAAGAATATTGAGTGCTAACACAGTATCCAAGTTCAAATTCTGCCCCAGTTACCTTATTGGATGAAGAGTAATCCTTATCAACATATAAAACTGTTGAATGATTGAAGAAGTTGATGTTAAGAAGTCGGCCTTAGAAATACAGCAATCAAAACATTCTTGCAAAATTACAAATTGTGCGTGTTTTGTAACATACTTAGACAGGAGTCTATTAAAAAGTATCAAATATCATTAACATAAATGTATGCATATAGGTATACCCCTACATCTTTATTGTGTCATCATCATCTTCATCAACAGCCTTTAATAGTCCACTGCTAGATAAAGGCCTCTCCTTAGAAAGGAGGTCTGTTTTGTTCTACTATACCACGCTAGCCAGACAGGTTGGTATAGGATTTATGTCAAGTTTTTCTTGTCTTTGCAGTGTAGTTGTCCTACATGGTTTGCTCCCTTAGTCAGCTTTTACTACTCCCACGGGATAAATAGGGTTGGTGACACTCCGTAATCTTAATCCGTTACTACACAGATGTTATTGTACCTATTATAGTCTATCAATTTATAGTTTACTAATTGTATGCTAATTAAAAAAATAAATAAACCCACTTTTCTTCATTTCTTGTCCTAAAACTTATCATTCAATTTTGCATATTCTTCCTATTATCCAATTTTTTTAAAAACAGCATGAACCCACACCCACATAATTTAGAGCAATTAAAACAATATTATGAAATAATCAAAGATATTACATGGCAAACTCTGCATTCCTAGTAATTTTATGTAATAATAAATAAAATGAAACGATGAAATGAAATAATGATGTGTATTGAAATGTTAACTTACGTTTCCATTTCTTGCTAATGGATGTGGTTCTTGATGAAGATTTTGTTGGTTTAATTTAAATTTAATAGGATATTTTCTAAGCGTGGTGCAAGAATGCGCGTTCTGTTCTTCTTATATATTTTTTCTTTTTCAACCAAATGATCCATCTATGTCATGTATATGGCTCATAACTTTAGATATTATTTTTAGAATTTAGTTTCATTTGACAAAATACAGTAAACATCATAACACAATGTTGAGATTAAAGTTTTACTTTTTTAAGTAAATACAAGTCACCAAACCAACCAATCTTAGTTGTCAAAGTTTCCATTGTCATTTATCAATATTTTTTTATTTTAACACAATGTTTCAAAAGATAAAGAAATACTATGCAGTCTATGGTACTAGTGTTAACTCCAATTCCAAAGCTCTTTTCTACTATAACAAGAAGGAGAGACTAAAGTAATTTCCAGGTTTTGAGATTATTTTATAGTAATAAAATATTGGTAGATATATTATAAACATTCAGAATTAATGTAAACTAAGTTGTAACTTAGCTAGGGCAGCTTCAATTCTGACTAGTTGTAGTAAGCTGTTGTGAGCACTTGTCCTAGATATTTTTTCTTGGGGCTAGGGCTTAGGTAAATGAAGCTATATAATAAATTATACCGCTTTCACCAGAACCTACAATCGTCGCATCCAACTATTTACCTTGTCACAAACGTACGCCACGAAAAGGTTTTGTGAAATTATGACTTTGTGAAACCAAGCATGGCTCTGTAGTTATCCTGTTTATTCACAGCCTACTAGCTCCAACCATATTAATGTGACATTATGATATTATTATAATTACTGAGTACATTTTTCATGAACATTACATAAATTTTCTTTATTTTTTGTTACATAAATATTAGAATTGTAATGTTTTTCAAAATATTTGCAGGCAAGTGTTCAATACAAGGAAAAAAATTAAAATATTTTCTTTCGGTAATTCAAAAAGATATTGTTCGGACTATAAGTAACGATAGTTTTACAAATGGGCTTTGGAAAACTGTTTCATCTACAAGTGTTTACTGTAACCATTATATGAAATTGAAGTTGCCAAAAAATAAAGTTTTTGCAACATATGTGTGGATCGATGGAGGAGGTATCAATTTGCGTTCAAAAGATCGTGTGCTGCCCCGAGCTCCGAGTGATTTGTCACAAGTACCGGAGTGGTCATTTGATGGAAGTTCAACTGGGCAAGCCAAGACTGATGACTCTGATACTCATTTAATTCCTGTAGCTGTATATCAAGATCCGTTTCGAAAATGCCCTCACGTACTTGTACTATGTGAAACCTATCACGCTAATGGAACTGCGACAGCAACCAATCACAGGGCTAAGTGCGCTGATGTATTAAGTAAAATGTCACATCTAGAACCTTGGTTTGGGATTGAGCAAGAATACACCATGTTTGATTCAGATTTGTGGCCATTGGGTTGGCCAAAAATAAGAGGTTATCCCACCACAAAAGCAAAGTTTTCTTATTGTGGCATTGGGGAACACGTTGCAGGACGGGAAATAGCAGAAAGTCATGCGAGGGCTTGTATTTATTCTGGAATGGATTACGGTGGTTCAAATGCAGAAGTAATGATGGGCTCCTGGGAATTCCAAGTCGGTACCACGATGGGAATAAAAACTGCTGACGATTTATGGCTAGGACGTTATTTACTTGGAAGAATCGCGGAACAGTATGGGGTTATTATAAGCTATCATCCGAAACCAATGGGAAGGAATCAACCGGGTATTGGGTGTCACCATAATTTCAGTGTAAAGAAAATGCGTGAAGATGGGGGACTCACAGAAATTGAAAGAGTCTGTAAAAAGCTTTGCCAAAGTCACAAAGAGCACATGAAAAGTTATGGACTTGGCGATGGTCAAGAAAATCGTAAAAGATTGACTGGCAAATTTGAGACCGCTGCATTTGATACTTGCAAATGGGCTGTAGCAGATAGAGGTGCTTCTATAAGATTGCAAAGAAGCGTTATGACGAACAAGAAAGGGTTCTTGGAAGACCGTCGACCGGCTGGAGATTGTGATCCTTATAGAGTTTGTGCTATAATCGCAGAAACTTGTGTAGACAGTGGTGCAGCAGGTTCTAAAAAAACGGTGTGTTAATGCGTTCATGCCAACTCTACTTTCTCAATTTAATATAAAACTTTTTCAACAAAAAAAAAATAGTACTGGTGACATATAATAAAATTTCAAAAAAACATTGGAAACAGGTTCATTAATTTGGTGATTTTGTTACATTTGAAATTATATGTTTTTATAAAAATCCATAAATTTGTAAAAGTAAAAATGAACAGAACTTAATTGATTACAAAACTAAAGAAAATGGCGACTATTATTAAATGTTTAAAATTCCACCACCCCAGTACTCTTTTTACCATGGAAAGAAGAAAACTCATGTATAATACTAATAATTCGGTGTTAAGCAAGAGTCCTAATGTAATGTTTGTCGTAAGAAGAAATCTCTTAAAGCATTCTATCAACCACATCATGAACAAGAAGGTATTGGACAGGTATTTACGACTGCCTTTACCTTGTAACAAAATTTTGGCAACTTATGTGTGGATTGATGGTTCTGGTATTAATATGAGATGTAAGGATCGAGTCTTAGATTGTGTTCCCTACTGCCCTGAAGCTGCCCCCTTCTGGAGCTTTGACGGAAGTTCAACCGGGTTAGCAACAACTACTAACTCTGATACCAGCCTCCGACCAGTTGCCGTCTACAGAGACCCATTTCGTGCAGACCCACATGTTCTTGTCCTCTGTGACGTTCTTAAGGGCGATAGTCAGGAACCCGCAGCAACAAACTTTAGAATATTTTGCAACAAATTGATAGAAATGCATAAGGCTGAGGAACCGTGGTTTGGGCTTGAACAAGAATACACTATGTTGGATGTTGATGGCTGGGGCTTAGGGTGGCCTAAAGGCGGGGGTTACCCTACGGTCAAATATCAATATTCGTATTGTGGTGTTGGAGCAAAATACATGGCTGGTAGAGACATAGTAGAAGCACACGAGAGAGCTTGCTTGTATGCTGGTTGTGATTTTGAAGGCACTAATGCTGAAGTGACCCACGCTTCTTGGGAGTGGCAGGTAGGCGCTACAGTTGGCATTAAAGCTCCAGATGATTTATGGATGACACGTTTTATTATGAACCGGTTGGCTGAGGATTATGGGGTAGATATCACATATCATCCGAAACCGTTTGGAATGTTACACCCTGGTATAGGTATGCATCATAATTTTAGCTGCGTAAAGATGCGTTCAGATGGTGGCTATGAATTTATATTGGAATGCATAAAAAAGCTAGAAAAGAATCATATGAAACACATGAAAGTTTACAGTAACGAAGTTTGGTCAAATAAGATGAGGCTATCAGGTAAATTTGAAACCGCACCATTTGACAAATTTTCTTGGGGCGTCGCTAACAGGGGCACCTCTATTCGGATACAGAGAGAAACAAAAGCCAAAGGTAAAGGATATTTGGAAGACAGGAGACCAGGTGGAGATTGTGACCCTTACCTCGTTTGTGGATTGTTAATGGAAACTTGCTTAGGTGGTTCTTCTGGTGGTGGAGGCTCAAAGAGTGCGAAATGTAATTTCAAGGACCCCTGTAAAAAGTAAATAATTTTTTTTTTGGGTTGTGCAATGGTGTGATTCATAACAATTTAGCCTTTTAATAATGAACAAAAAATAAATACAATATCGCAATTTAAGTAATTTAAATACAGGCGGCGGGGAGCATGGCAACAACGGAGTTAGACCTATTGACAGGTAGGAAAAATGTTAGGTGCTTTAAAGCACGGTAATAGCTTCTCCCTACCTATACCACAGTCAGTGGCGGATTTCCCCCAAAGGACCAGAAGGCCTAGGGCGGCCGGATATTAGGGGCGGCGATTCGTGACAAAAAAATTCACCGATAACAAGAAATAACTCACGAGTACTTAAGTATTTTAAAGGATAGCACACATTATGGCGATCCGCATTGCACCGCATCGTATGTATGAAATATAGATATGTAACAAAATATATGTATAATGTAATGCATAATAGAATACAATGTACGTGTAAGTTATTTCGTACATATATGTGATTTACGAAGAATATTGTTATACGCGCGCCTTAAAATCATTCGACCGCGAACAAATATTAAAAGCGAAATATTTTTCTCTGATTTTTCTTTTTTGACTCGAAGACGGATATTTCACACCAGACCAGCTCACTTTCCACTGAGTTCGGGGGATGGCGGGCTCCCTACAGAGGCTATTGCTTAATTTAGGGGGTCCACGGGAAGAAGTTCGACGCCTCCTCTGTGTGATAATACGATCCCCTTAATCGATCAAGTGCCAATCAGCCTCCTCCTGCTGCCGAGCTAAGCTCAATCCTTTGGATCCTCAGGCCCTTTGGATCGTACGTGGATACCGCACCATCTCGTCGGAGGCGGCGACAGTCCTGGCACGTTTCCCGCCTTTTGATATCCTGTCGGATATGGATGCGACGGTCTATGACCAGACTCGTACGATCCACCGGGATGAGCGGGGAGGTCCAGGACGGGTTCGAAAAGCGGCGGAACGCTCATTGAAAGGCACTGACCTCGAAACGTGGGTAGGTAGGGAGGAGCCCGCGTAACCTACCGACTGATGCAGGTACTCACTGGGCATGGTTGGTTGCTAGTGAGTACCTGAATCGGATCAAACGCAAGGAGATGGCATTCGTACGCTGGAGGACTACCTCGCGACTGAACGTGAAGTCCTGGTTGACCAAATTGGACGAGACCTGTCCTCACCAGTAATCATTACTGCTATGCTGGCAGGTAAGGAGGGCTGGGGCTGGGGTTTTCTGTGAAATTATAATGCTCCAAAGAGAACGCTGCACTGGAGAGGTCCGATCCCGAGCGTAGATGTCGAGCCGTGGTTTGCCAGAGAATGGGTTCCTCTGGTGGCAGGTTAGGGACACTGCTATATGGGATAGTGCAGATCTGATCACATGATCGAAGCGAATAACTGTGGGCAGTTTGCAGCTGCTCCTGGGATAGGCGTATTTAGGCGTGGTGTCACTACGGGAAGGGCCTGAAATCACATAGTCCGAGCCCTCCCCAGAATAATGAAATAAAGAAAAAAGGAAACGCCACATGCTCCTGGCTTCTGGGTTCCCAAGAAGCCGGAGATTCAAAGGAATTTTCTACTCCGTCTACAGCTTATATAACCAGATATGTCCTGCCTAATAGATTACCTGTAGAACGTTTCCTTAAGTTTATTCCAAACAGGCTGCAGATCAACAAATAACATATGCTTTCCCTCAACTTTAACTGAATTGGGAATTGAAATTTTTAAATTGCCCAGGGCTACCTTATGACAACGCGTTATTTAAACATTCAATCTATCTTTATGCATAATTATGCATCTTCATATGTATCATTCAAACCATGGAAAATATAACAAACCAGCAGCTATTATAGTAAACTAAACTTCTTTGTCCGTTTCGATAAAATTCGGCAGTAAAGTAAATCATTATGTAGTGTATATGACAGGTGCTGCGAAAGGGAAAAGATACCGTTTGTCGTATCGCCTCGGTTCGAGAGCACCTCCCTAATTGCCTCAGCCAGTGTCGGAATCCTTAGCATCGACATCTCGAGCGAAGTCCAATTCGCAGTCATTTAATCATCATATACTAGTCCACAGCCTATACTAGTCCACTGCTGGACATAGGCCTCTCCTTAGGAAGGAGGTTTTGGCCTACTATACCACGCTGGCCAGACGGGTTGGTATAGAGTCATTTAATGGGTAAGGTCAAATTGGCCTCGAAGAAGTTCGGCGTGCTGAACAGATCGAGGCAGTATTTCACTCCAGCCCATCACCTCCAACTCTATAAGGCGCAAGTCCGGCCGCATATGGAATACTGTTCTCATCTCTATCTAGGTACACCTCAGTATCAGCTTCTCCCTCTGGACCGTATCCAAAGATAAGCGACTCGAATCGTCGATAGCCAAAACATCTCCGACCGGCTCGATCCCTTGGCGTTGCATAGAGACGTACTGTTGTATTACAACTTCACCGCCATCGTTCCACACGGTAAAATTTTCATCCCCACCACTTGGATAAGGTGTCGCTTTCCATCAGGTGGCCCGTCTGCTCGTTTGCTCCTATTCCTTAAAAAACATATTCATACATTGGTTACCTACCAATAAAAAGGCAAAAGATACCAGAGAACTAGTAGTTGAAGAACATATTTTGTTTATAATAGTCATTGTAGAGTAGTATTACAAATCATCATAGTCATAGAGTATTATAGAGTCAGATTGTAAATACATGTTATATTTTTGAAACGGATGGGACAGCAAAATGATTACCTTCTTTTAGAATGAAAATATGCATGTCATTTTCAGATGCGATTGCACTAATGTTAATATTGGAGAATTAGGTAGTGTAACTAAATTAATGAAAAGCATGAAATAATACAGCTTTACAATTTAATTTGCTTGCTGCATATAAATGAATTGGCATTTCGTCATTTTTTTTATATTGCTGGTGGATGATACGATGCGGTGACGTCTGACCCTAGAACATTCACAGGGTAAAATTATCTTTTTTTTTTTATTATTTTTATTCATGACCATAGATACAAGTCTTTCAGTCGAAAACATAGATGGGTTTAAACTTAATTAGGAGGTAAAATTGTGAAGAAAAATTTGTGTAGCCAGATTTAAAAATATTCTATGAAAAGTTGAAAAAAAAAAACTTTTTTGTTATTTTTCGTCTTTCACGGTCAATCCGGAAGCAGTAGATTATATCCGATTACAACATTGACCTAAGAATACACAAAACATATATATATCGACACAAAATACAACATGTATATATTAATATTTTATATATTTACTTCCTCATTGGATTACAATCATACTTTTTTTTTTGTAAGTGTACCTATTTATTTTTATTTGACACATTTTTATTGTTATTTAAAGTCAAAATAAAACCGAATTCAAATTTCACAGGAACATCACTGGACGCCATCTTATTCGCCTTTCAACCTCTTTAGTGTTCCAATGCGTCCGTTGTATCAATTGTGATTATTTGTGATTCAATATAACTCTGGTTTCGCTTTATAACGTATATAACGCGATTCAACATCAAATATTATTTGTTGTATTTCCATTGAGCTTCTGTCAGTTTTTCACATTATTTTTGTTCCTATTTGACATGTTGCTTATCTCCATTTTTAACTTACACCTAATGTTATTTTATTTCTCCGACTTTACTATATAGCAGTGTAAATATAATTGTATATTGATTAATAATAACGATTTATTACTTTCATCGCATTGTTCATGTACAGCTCTAGTAATATTACTGTACTCTGTGATGTACAGTCAACGGTCGTAAATGCAGTCTCACCATAATGTAACCTTACCACGGCGCATAAATGACCGTTCTTGAGTCTCAATGCGTAAAATGGAGCCTACCACTAAAACCAATGATGGACGAACCCCACACAGTTACTGGCTACGTTTCTAATCTACGAGAATACGGGGGATACACGCAGTGGTTTGAGAAAATGGCATACGGGCGAGTGAGAACATGAAAACTAGATACGACAGAATTATTATGCTTTACCCTAATACTATGATTTACTACAATTGTGAAACCAAACATTCACCAAGACTAGGGATCGTACAAGAATAAACAAGTAATTCTAAGTGCGTGTTTTATTGATATGGCCTCCGAAATTGGTAATTCTGTCCAGAATTTCTGTGTGAGTCTGTATTAGCGGCGACATATACTATAAGTTGCAGAGTTAGCCTTTATATCTGATGTAGTTAATAGATACCTGTAATTAATTAAATAATTTAAAATATTTGTTTCAAAAAATATATAAATATCTGTACCTTAATAATTTTTTATTTAACGTTTTAATTTTTTTCAAGATTAAGTAATTTATTATAGAAAAAAATGATAATGAGCGGACGGGTCACCTAACAGAAAGTGACTACCGTCACCCATGAACGCCGTTAATTTCAGATTGTGGCACATCACTCTAAGAATTGCAAAAAAATAACAACCTTACGTAAGGTAAGTTTAGTCTCTAGGATAATGAAACTAACTACGAAGCTATAGTGATTAGCAAAGCGGACTGCTTTAAAGTGCAGTGGAATCTGCCCTATATCTAATGTTACAAGCCATAATTAAAATCACTGGAATACAATTCCATTGCGAACTTCAAGGCATTCCACTTTGCTCCACCGCTGAATTGCAGCACATAATCAGAATCATATTAGTTTTGTGATTGTTTATTTATTTAGTATGTGTGTACTGAAAATATTGGTGATACGACTTATTCCGGTTTTCTTTTTTAGTTACAATTGTATTCACTGTGAAATCTATGTCATAAAACGAAACCTATTTATCTAAGTAATTCCATAAGTATGAATGGACTTCGGTGAATTAAAACGTATCTCAGTTTAATTTTCTGTCGCATTTTTGTAATACTCTACTCTATACCATAGACAAGAAATTAAAAAATAACCTAGACGCCATTTTAATTCTTTGCTCTATTCCTTTTCGTCATATGGCGTATTAGGTGCGTTCGCGATCGTCCGCCATATTAAATGAAATCAATAAAATAAGACAAAATGTCGCCTTACTAAACTGCGTGAAAATAATCCACCAACATCCATTATTTGTGTGATTAAATCATCAAGAGGATCACGATGGAGAATTCTTACGGAGTTGGTATTGTGAACCGCTATGCTCTTTTCTTGGACGATGAGTCCGATCCTCTTGATGCGTTAAAAGCGCGAGAGCAAGCCAAAGAGCTGAAAAAGAAGTCAAAAGATGCCGAAAAAGAGAATAAGGGCAAACCTGAAGTCAAACCAAAAGGCGGTACTCCCGCCACCAGGAAAGGAATTAAGGAAACCCAAAACGTGAAGTCACAAGATAATAGGAGCGGTGAGCAACCTAAGAGTAAGGGGCCTGTCAGACCTGCCAATGAACGAAACGTAGAACGTCCTCCTCCACGTCGTCGCGAAGACCGGCCTCAGAACGGTGCAGTCGACAATAAAGAAGGAGCACCACGGCCACCTAGGCGCGAGTTTGGCGATCGCAAACCCAACTATGAACGACGCAATTTCAGTGAAAATCCTGATGGAGCCGAACGTCGTGGACCGAGACCGCCGCGTGAACCCCGAGATGGACCGCGCGGGCCGCGTCCATACGATAATCGAGGCAAGCGTGAATTTGACAGGAGATCTGGCTCCGACAAGACCGGTGTGAAGCCGGTCGACAAACGTGAAGGTGCCGGACCTCACAACTGGGGCACGATCAAAGACGATATCGACGAACTCAACAAAACCGGTTCAGAAGGTGAGGTGGTCGAGGAGAAAGCTCCCGATGCGGCCGGCGCTGGCGCCGGTGACGGACAACAGCCGGAGGCCGAGCGCGCGGCGCCCACCGAGGAGGAACCGCGCGAGCTTACACTGGACGAGTACAAGGCGCTTCGAAACGCTCAGCGTAAATCTCCACAGTACAATCTGCGAAAGGCCGGCGAGGGCGAGGACCTAAGCCAGTGGAAAAATCTGGTAATGCTCGAGCGCAAGAAGGAGGGTGAGCGAGGTGAGGACGATGACAGCGACGAGGAGTACGATTTGGCTGACTATCCGCAACGCGTGGGGCGTCAGAAGCGCGTGCTGGGCATCGAGTTCACGTTCAACGACACGGCGCGGCGCGGCGGCACGGGAGTGCGCGGACGCGGTCGCGGTCGCGGACGCGGCCGGGCGGTGCCGCGGGAGGAGCCCAGCGAGGAGCGCCTGCCGCTGCGCTCGCAGGTGGCGCCGCCGAAGGTGGACGACAGCAAGGATTTCCCCTCTCTTGGCTAGACTCACAGTGAGCCTTCGCTCTTCTCCCTTTCGATAGTTACAAATTAAAAATATTGTATGTACCGTTATTTTTGAAGTAAATATACAAAATATTTACACGAGTGTGTATTATATTACATTTTCGTTGACTTCTTCGGAAGTCACTTTCGGTTCTAATTGACATGATCTATAACTGCTGTTGATTAGTGGCTTGACCGGTGATGGCCGATCACATAGATGTTGGAGAGGGGGAGGATAACTTTTAAGGTTTTAAGTTTGAATTCACATAGCTACCGTATGCATATGGAATTATAATAACAGTAGCTTTTATCATATTGTAATCACATCAGCTTATGATTTAACTTTGATGAGTTTTATGGATTAAGGATTTTAATCTTACAGACTGTGACAAGTGTTGACATTAACTCCGTCACAATTTAAGAGTAGAGCATGTGAAAAGTAACCCTTGTTGCATTTTATCATGAGTTGTTGACAAATGCAGACTGGGAACTGTAAATAGTTGATATATGTTAAAAGATAAGGTCTTAAAATAACACGGTTGATTTTGTTGTTACACAACTTCAGAAAAATAAACATTTTGTATGTGTGATATTTTGCTTCATTATTTGTCTTGCCTCCCCCCAGGATACTAAAGTCATGTGTAAAGTCAAATGTTTTAGGTATGATGAATAGGTTGATGTAATGAAACAACTATTGTAATCAAGTTATGTTGTATATTGACACGTTTTATCACTTTCACACAAAAACAGTTTTCTTAAAATTTACAGATAAACAATACACAATTTCAGTAAATATTCAACATAATAGAAATATTACTTAATAAAATAAACATTACACAGTGTAAGGTCATAAGCATAATAAATAATTAAGTTGTGTAACATCAATACTGTTGCATGAACTGAATGTTTGAGACACTAGCTAAGAATTCTTATTATTTAAAGGACATATAAATTGATATTCATTATTTGATAACTGCTAGAGATTACTGGAACAGTTGAAACTTGCATACAATCAGATATTGAAATGTAACATACATTAAGAAAACAATAAGGTTAACTATTGTATGTAACTGACTAGTAGTTTATATTAAATGAAATCTTGCCTAAAGCGATCTAATGAAGTACATACTTAGATTATTGTAGCATACATTATTTTTGCTTATTTCATGATATTATAAGGAAAAATTATATGTCGCATTAAACACCACACACATTTTTGCAATTTCAAATCGCCATTTAATTAAGGGTGTCCAGTTACAATATAGTATAAATTAGTGACGTAAAAGCGTAATTACTAAATACAGGACTCGGGTCCCGTTTCACAGCCACAATATACGTTCACTTATATACAAGCGTTAATAAAGTACAAACGTCGTGGGACACGAGTCGGATACAATAATAAATATCTAGGCACATCTACATCATAGTCAATCATATTTCTAAACTACTACTATCTTTGTTCATTCGCTTAACTATAAATTGACTATTATTTACATCGACAGCGATACTCGTGACCGGTTGCAATTATTTACATAGCCTAACATCTCGAACCACAGTGAACGTAAAGTTCTTCAGCGATTCAAATATCGAGTCAAAGTCGACGTGCGTCTCCGGGTCCTCCTTCGCCATCGCACGACATCGGCCGGTAGCTTAGCGCACGAAGGATGCTGCGAGACGAACGCTTCCATCCGAGGGTCGAGAGGGTGAGTTCAGGGAGAGTTCACTCAATGCCGAAGGTGTTGGTCTCCTCGACGGCGAGCAGCAGCTTCTCGTGCAGCAGGGCGGCGCTGGGGTAGGGCGGCAGGTCGAGGCGGTTGAAGCACGTGTGCGCGCGCGGCAGCGACTCCACGCGGCCCCAGCGCTCCACGCAGAAGCGCCGCGGGCCCGTCGAGCCTCGCAGGGCCGCGAACCCCTCGTACGGGATGGACGACGTGCCCGTCACGAACTGCACCAGCCGTAAGCGTTGCTCGTTCGAAAACCTGGAACCGTATTTGTATTTTACTATATGTTCACGTTAGCGTTCAATATTCTCATGCTCGGAGAACGGGTTAGTTTCGATACGATTCGTAGTAGATCCATATCTTTGATGGTCAGCCCTTTACGACACTAAGATAGTCTGTTATCTGATATGTTAAGCAGTTAACGTATGATACTGCACACTTACAACGCAATGTTATTTTTGTAGGGACAGTTGAAAATACCTTAAAGTAGGTATAGAAAGTTTGATACGACAGGCACTATTTGTGACACAGACATTACACTATTTGTGAAAAAATGACACTAATTTACTTAAGCTATATTTTAGCTAGTTGAAATTCCTGTCATGAGGTAGATTTGCGGTTTTAGTATCCATTTTTTATTTATTAAACTTAATGCAGAGGTTGTATGAGTACAACCGGCGGACTTAATGCCCAGGGCATTCTCTGCCCGTCGACCTTAGGGTGACGTAAAAAAATGATGCGGCAGGTATAAGAGCAGTTCATTTAGTTATCAATGAATATCAAACACGACATCCAGAAGATTACCTCATGTTACATAGATGTCAACACGTGCCACGTGGTCCATACCACGTGCTCACCATATTTATTAACCTATCTATTTTTGTTTTGGTAGAAAATTGATACTTGTATAGTAGTCGGACTGAAAATCTCACTACGTAGTAGTTATTACTACTGCGTACCTAGTTTTTTTTTTAAAAGTTGGCAAACAAACATATGCTTTTTTAAAGGTTATTGAAATACTTTCTGTGCTCATACTTACAGTTGGTAGTATAGGTAATGGTGTGTACCAACAGACATACAATTCATTAGATTTTTCAATAGCGTATTTTAAATACTTAACACTGGTATTTATTTGTTTCTCGACTAGAGGAAAGGTTCCCGTGCTCTCATTAAGAAATTTGTAATTTAGCTCATTTTGTGGTATATACAGACCTGTCAATAGCTTGCCAGAACCAGATGATGACAGGATGCGAGTCGTGGTACCCGCCCCTGTACTCGGTGTTGTTCCTCCAGTCTGCGACATCTAGTTCAGGAGCCCCCGCGATAACTAGTTCTAGCTCACGGGCGTCAAACGCCGCCACCAAACGTGGATCTACGACCTATAACAAAAGATAACAATTATTCGTGACATTATCAGACTAGTTTCCCAGGCCACAGCAAAATATATACTTCGATTGTTATCTTTCTGACCACTAATGGAGCCTGCGGATAATATGTGGTCGACATTTATATGGGGACGCGTGTGAAAATGGTTCTAATAAAGTTTTAAACAATATTTATGTTTAAAATAAAAAGATAAATAAAGTATTTTTATTAAGATAACAATTCATATATTATACGATATCGATAGTTAATATATATTAATATAATATTGATTTGAATTGAATACAATAAAATTAAATCGTTATCTTGAGCAATAGTTATCTTATACATTTTACGTACGTTTTTATTATTTCGTAATTGTTGCCAGTAAAGACTCCGACTTTTATTTAAAATTACAAATTCCTGTTTGTGCGCGTTTGCTTATGAACGCCTACAATAATTTCTCCCTACGTAAATATGCCTGTAGCAGAGATTATATTATTATATGGATTTGAATGGGTGTAGTCGCTGCGATGTGTGTTCAGCAATAGTTTTAATAGTATTTTTAAAAAAGACTGGACGATTCTAAATACCTGGTTACCAAATTTATATAATAATATATTGAATTTCAATTTGATGATGACGATTACCGTCCCACAGAAATCGTAATAATAATTCAGTTACGTCCAACATCCAATGAGTGATACTACCGTGAAAAATGTGATTGTAAGTTTTTTGTAATCAGTTACAGCCTTTGTCAGTTTATCTAAAGATTTAGAATTTAGAACTTTAAAATTTTCATCACGTGAAAAACTAAATCATAGATAATACATGTGTTGTTTTTTTTTTAATTTGATTTAAGTATGGGTATACCCGTTTGAATTAATACCAAAAGAGATACAACTCATTGGATATCCTAAATGGAGCTTTGTCAATTATTATATAGAAACAAAATTGCTGTTTGAGCATTCCGCGCCATCTTTTGTGAGGTGGAGGCACCTTCACTGGCTAACAGCTCTAATGATAGCAGAGCTAGTGAACAGTCCCTACATAAATCTTAAAAATATAGGATTTATTTAACATATTTAAGTCATTTTATTAACGCACTATTATGACCAGATTATGTTAACTACGATTCATTTCTGTGCGTTTCTGCTGTAGGTTGTCTGTTTTGGTGTATAAATGTTTTATGATTCTTTACAAATTTTTCAACACCAAAACTGCTCATGATTTTAACTATCTTAAGTCTATTTGTCCATCTAAAGGTTGCCTGTAAGAAATTGCTTTTTATTGATAAAGCCGCCATTTGTAATATTTATTATATTGGTGTACAATAAAGTTTATTCTATTCCATTCTATTCTAGGTACATCTTTTTGGAATTGACTTATACAAGTGGTCTTTTTTCTTTTTCCATAAGTCTTTATTTTTTATTTATTTGATCCTATATGCACAAAAAAATGTGCAAAGGTGGACTTTAACACCGTAGGCATTCTCTGGCAGTCTACCTTGGTGTTTTGTAGAGATGAGTAATTAGGTGCACTGAACTTGAATAAAGGGTTTCAATAACAATAATAAGACATAACTTAGAGCAAGGCCACACGTCGCTTCGACGGTGACGTACTTTTCTCTCTTTGTTAAGAACATAAGTGGATTTTACATTTACAACTTATCCTGTAAAGGGATACCCCTCATTCATTGCTTTATCCACGCCTAAAATTTTAAACCTGGTTAATTCGCTGTGTGGTTAACTTATACTAGGGGGATGCTAGGGGTCCTTGCCTCATGAAATCCTCTGACGAGCCACTCGGTCTGTTCAGCTACGCCCCTCTCAACCCTCCACCGCACAACTCGCTCTAAGTATTCCTTCTTGTTCCGTTCCGTGACGGCCACGTCTCGGCCTCCTGGCTTCAGTTCACGCTCCAACACTCGCCCGTCTGCTAAGCGCTCTGATACCGCGAAGGTCAGCTCTAGAGAGGACACGCAACGGGCAGTCTGGAATGGAAATAGTTGAGGATGGTTAGGAATAAAATATATTCTATGATTTAAAATTAATGAAATTTAATTAAAATTTATAAGATTATGCAATCGGTTATTTTCCATTGTAAACGTAAGAACCTTCAGTAAAGGATGTTAAAAATGAAAAGGAACTCATGATGTTGTATTGTAAGGTTATTACCTAAAAACATGTTTATACTATATTTGCCTTGATAACACCGATATAAGAATTTTTAGATCATTAACATACATTTTATGTAAGTTTAATGTGAATAGAAAAATCAAGTAGGAGTTCAATACTAAAAAGCATATTTTATTTGCAATGAAGTTCAAATAACTTTAGTTCAAATAGACATTTGTAGCAATTTGGTCAGAACCGACCTTTTCCAAAGAGGTTTCCTCGTAAAATGTCCCGCGCTCTTTTTGCTAACAATAAACTTATATTTCATGGTAACCAGCGCCATCTGCTGTGATGTAGGTGGTAACGAAACGATGACCATGATAAATGAAATGTCGAGAATTTTATGTGCAGTGAAGTTTGGCAATCATATAGCGGATTACATTAGACCTAGTTTTGGTAAACATAATAAACTGTTGTAATAAAAATATTAGCTAGGCTGCAATTACATAATATTGATTACGGTTATTTATTAAGGAAATTAACTTATAAGTAAAGTAAAACTCATGATGTGTTTTTACCAATTAAACCGCGTTGTTTTTTAGTACAAGTAAGTATAGGCGTCTTATTGTCTTTCAAGTATTTATCGGGGCTGTTATGAAATAGGGAGCAAACAAGTATCTAGACGGGTCCTCTAAGTGGCAAGTGACTACTTTCGCTCATGGACACGTCAAGGGACATTAATCTGTTGTTGTCAGATTTAGGAGAAATCAACGAGAGAAATGCTTAACACCGATTTACTGTAAGGTTGTGTTATCACATTTGTCGAATTATGACTTTCCCATGTGTCAATCATTGTGCGTATCATCATCAACAGCCTTTACTAATCCACTACTGGTATTAGGCTTCTCCTTAGACGGAAGGTTTTGGCCTACTATACCACGTTGGCCGTACGGGTTGGTATACTGTTTGTTTCAAGTTTTCTTAGTCGGCTACTGGATGAATAGGGGTGGTGACACTCTGTATATTTAATCCGTCACCACATGGTTATAGTTATAATATTTGTAGAGTGGTTACCTGCAGCCACCTTAGCGAGGCAGCGAACTGCGCGTCCAGGGCGTCGACGTCCTCGAGCGCGGGCGCCAGGCGCAGCAGCGCGCGGTACAGCGCGCGAGTGAACCACGCCTCCAGCAGGTAGCCGTGCACCAGCGCCAGGCCCAGCACGCGCCCCGAGAAACGGAACCTGCAGCAAACACCATTGTTTACAAACAAGGGCCTTGTGGAAGATGTATGACCTCTTTATATATTAATCGATTCCTGATCATGCAGTTTTATAAGTATCTTGATACAGCTACGATCGAATATCAATAAGTCCACGGCTGAAGAAGGCTCGAGTTTACAGTATCTAAGTATAATTTAAAAAACAAAGTTGGTGCTCTGTGATGTTTGAAAGATACTACAAATATAACATTATATCCAATTACTGTTTTTTTGTGGTATGTATTTGTTTACAAGGCTATGGGTGAGGGGTCTGTATATCCCGAATCAAACATACACACACATAGAAATGTTGCCGAAAGTTGTAATGGTAACCTCTAACTAAGTAAAATGGCACAAATACATTTATATTTATTTCCTAATGCCGTGCACATACGCTTCATACAATATAACAGTAACCTAGATTATGTCGGAAACCACTACACGTACTACAGAAATAGAAGCAAATAAATATTCTTGTTGTGAAATTGTTCATACAAAAAAGTTTTGAAATTGTCTTCTAAAAAGTTTTCTCTTGTAAGGCTACAAGAGAAAACTAGAGACAATTTCAAAACTTTTATACACAACCATAAATAAGTAAAGTTTATGTTTCATTTAAGCTTAATTTTGCGGGTCAACAGTTACTGCTCATCATTTACATATTTCTGTCAGTGTTTAACTACAGGTCCTAATTTAAAAATACCCAAACTATTGTCATTTTTTTTAAAGCTAATGTTTAACTTAATACATTTTCGTTTCCAACACAATTCCGTTACACATGAATAAAAAGTAATCTAAACAGCGTAGTAATTTGATACGGGGCGGTTGAAAGTTCCGCACGGTTGAAGTTGTCGCAAGCACAAAAGCTGCATCATACATCATTGGTTTGTTTGTCCGAAATATGATACATAATGTTTGTAATATTAGACTAACAGAGTTTCGGTTCGTGGTCGCCGAACGTGGAGTAAAAATAAACACAGAGGGCGCGCGAGCGGCGTTATATATATAGACCAGAAGAATAGATATGCTTTTAGCTTTTGAGGACGATGCAGGAACAGTGCAGTTATGTTTTTTACTCATCTAAAGTTATTTGGTCTGCTCACTAAGGAGATAGAGTTTGGTCAGTGCAGTTACACAGGAATACAAGAGCAATTATATTTTCTGCTGATGAGTTGGTAAAGCTCTATGGAAAGAGGGGATAGAACTGGATCCTAACATTAACAGCTGGCAAATGATGGTTTACTATTTCTATACTGTATTTAATATCTTTAAACTAAAAAAATATTTTTTCCATGGGACTTCATTTATTAAAAAAAAAAAAAAAACAAAAAAATTTGCTTTTATAACCCATCGAATGATTTTTAAAGAAATTGTTTAAAGCGATAACTTCTCTTAAAACTGGATGAAATCTTTTACGTAATATTCCACTAAATTATTGGATTTCAAAGTTCCAGATTTGAATGTTAAAACTGTTTACGCACTTGTTCCCCTCCGCAGTTATTAGTTGGTAAAGGACCTCTTAGTCATCCTAGACAAAGAAAATTATAATATGACATACCATAAAGGGTTTCAATAAACCATGAACCGTTATTTGAATGGTATTCATTACTTCACAAAAATAGTTAATTATTCAATCGACAGATATTTATCGGTTGGACAACCTTGGCTCGTCCTGTAGGTACACTCGTTCATAGTCACGTCATTCGACAATGAATGGTTGTTTTAATGATACCTACTCGGCTTGTATAAAAAAAATATTAGGGCACTTTTAAAAATCAAAAGTAATCGTTCCTGGTTCCTTTTCTTTTATTTTAAGAACATTATTCGGTCTCCCATACCCCCAAAAAATAGTCCAGAAACAATGGTATTTGTATATAAATTAGAGTAGAACTTCCATACATACTGGTTTTAAAGATACTACACTTAAACAACAGTCTCCCTGCCATTTTGAGATTGATGGTTCCGATGAACATTTAATCTTTCGGTGGTGCTACCATGGCATTGTTTATAACCAAAGATTCTAATAACCATACAACTCTTCAAAATCTGTTCACTTCTTGTCACAACATAGGCAAATCTTGCTCTACGCTGTGTTTATTTTACATAAATAATATAGAAACACTTAATTAGATAATGATACCACACCTATCATTCTCAACACGGATGCTGGTATTTCAACGGTAATAACTATAATTTGGAGTTAATTGTATCTCTGTACTTAGGAAAAAATGTAAACAACTCGTTCGACTCATTACCACTTCGTAATTTGCAACTTCATGCTGCTGGGGTAACATAGCGTGTCAGGTTATGTATTAAAAACTGTTAAGAAAAACGTACTAAGTGGGAGTTGATATCACTTGTACTCATAGAGATATAACCTAGAGGGAACAAGAACTCCAATGTTGCAATACAGGCAACGAGAGAGATAAATAATAGTTAGTCCCCTCTATCTCTTTCTAGGCGATCTCTGTGGTTCGCTGGGGCATATGAGGGGTTAATAAGTAGCCAACAGAGACATTGGGAAATATCGACCATCCATCTCTCTCGTTGCCTGTATCGCTTCCATTTACAGGCAGCTGTACCCCGTGTTCTCTCTATGCTTTTACTTGAGCGTCACAGTGACCGGCGTTGTGATTGGTGAAGAGTTTAGTTCGTGCCAATCACAACTCCGAACGAGGTCACCGTGACGATCGAGTAGAAGTGAAATAAACTTATTAGCTAGGCTAGGCTAGTACGAGTACACAGTACCTAGTCCAGGACTAGGTTGATTACACACATGATATGACAGTAAACTGTGACTCCTTGACCAGTATTTTCGGTGTTTACTCCTTAAGAATCGATTTTCATATAAGGTATGAAAAAAAAAGATCAAAAATTTGTGATCGAATGACCTCGTTATGTTTTTTGTGCGCAACCTATCGTGCGCCGCTATCATATGTATACTTGTGTGCAGCCGAATCGTTTTTAACTTGAGGAGTAAACTCCAGTCATGCGTTGGAGCTGACACACATACAATTTATTTTTATGGCATAGGAGGTAAGAAATGGGGTAAACGGCTCACTCGGTGAAACAATGGAAGAATTTCATCAATATTTTGAATTAAGGGATTCACTTCATCAAGAGCGGACTGCGATAGTCCACTACTGGACATAAACCTTTTCCATTGCATGCCACTTAGATCGATTTAGGGCTTCTCGCATTCTAACTTCACTTAGGGGTTCACTTATTAAATATTTATTTTTATAAATAAAATATTTCACAATAAATTGTAATTAAATGAAACAAGTACCTATGTGCCAAGAACCTTGCTAAGCGACGGTTATACGTTGTTTAGTCACCGACTTAGCTTGTTAGTCACTGATTTGTTACGAGTAAGTTTGATCGCCGATTTTAATACTTCACTAGGAATAAGTGACTATGACTACATTACCACGGGTCTTTACGTTTGTGAATGTTAATGATAAGTTTACGTTTATATTTGATTAAAGTACGTACTTGTTTATATTTTATATTAATTTCCTATAAGTACCTAAGTGTGTGTAACAAAACGTGCAAACAAGTTAGTGTTTTTGTTCTGAAAAATTTAGTTAACAGTTTCTAAACTGTACATATTTATGTTTCTGCCTATCACACTTAAATCATTAAGGGTGTTATCGCTTAGTAGAATAATTATCGTTCATTTGTAATTCAATTTGTGGCAAAATTAAAACCTTGGGATAAATCCTTATAATAGCCTAACGTTAGTTATTGTAATTAACATTATGTATTAATAGTAACGGATGTTAATTTTAAAACTGATGGTATCTGAGACATGTTTTCCTAAAATTAATAAGAAATACAATCGTGTAAATTTAAACAATGCTAAATAAAGTTACACGGGTTAAGTCAAGTTTGAATTGCGGAGCTGTCCGACTCGTTTTAGGTGTTAGGTCTAACATCATCGCGTCGTGGCAGCCGTGCCAGGACGGTTTACTCCTGCCGCTGACGCTGTCCAAATATCAGGTCCGGATATGAGAGGAATAGCATAGGACTAAAATCTCTTTAATAGTTATGAATACTAGTCACGAAAATGTTCAGGCTAACCAAAATAATGCACTTTAAAGTATGTGGTACCAATAGTTATTTTAATCTTCAGGCATAGAATTTTTTAACTTGATTAGAGCATACCGTCGATAAACCTATTTTTTAATTCGTTCACAAATTTATCTGACAGTTAGTCTTATGTAACATATAATTTTTTTCTAACATTCATTCTTTGATAGCCAATTTTTAATAAAATATAACTTATTAAAAAATTATAATTTTTAGTTATAATTATTTTTATATGAACGAGATACGCACCATTCGTGATGGTTATCCACGAAAGCGGACATGGGCGAAACGTGGACAGTGTACGTATCATTAGCTGAGTACTCGAACAGTCCATAGTATGGGTTGAAGAGCTCCCTCGATAGTAAAAAGAAGAACTCGCGACTTGGTCCTCCGTAATCCAACCCTTCTTCTCCATCCCAGAGCACGCAGAGTTTGCCTTTTTGGAGTTCCTTCTTCCCGCAAGACATGATACGCCGAAAAGCGTCTTCTAGTAGGTGTTCCCGGCGAATATGGAGTCTGAAAAAAATATTGGAATACTGTAAGAGTAGTTTTTTTCAGAGACATTACCAATGTCTTGGCCGCATACAATGATCAGGTTGTACAAAGGCGATGAAACTATACAAAAGAGCTGGGTAAATGGTACAGCAAGGTTTTACAGCAAGATGTTATCATCACATTTTACAGTTGAACAATACATCCGTAGAGCGATAACATTTATAGAAATATTTATCCTGGACTAGAAAACTGACCAATAAAGCTGAGAGAGGACTAATATGAATAAAACTATTGGTATTAAATACCATGGTTGTTCAAGTAATGTACAGACTTCTCCGAAAATGTCTACAAACAAAAACATTTAAATTGTGCCGAAAATTCATATTTTCTTATGTGCACTTAAAATAGAAAAAACAAACTCACTTTAACTTTCCAGGTCCTTGTCCATAGCCTTTACTTTCCAGCTTGCGGTAAAAGGCTCTGAGCTTGGCTTCGAAGTCCCTTCGCTGCGGCGCGGGCGCACGCGTTGACCGCGCGGCTGCTGGTGATGCGGCCGGGGATGCACATGCACCTGGCGTCGCTGTGGGCGTCACGACACCGCTGCAACCACTTGCCGGTACATAGCTCATTATCTCCTGCTCGAACAGGCTGCAAAAGATATAAAGATTCTGGTTAGATATTGCAGGGCAGCGCAAAAGCTTAGATTATATCCAAAATTAAGTGGGAGTTAAAAGTTTACTAGGATACCCTGTGCTATCAAATCCTGGTCTCCACTCCGAAAACAATAATTGAATAAATGAAATGAAAATAAAAAATTTGCACACTGCGATCTAAACTGCTTTTTGAGATCGTGTTGATGCTTTATTGGAGAACAGTCCTTTATTATGTATACACATAGCTTTTCTCACAATACGCGTGGTTTACAAAAAAAAGTGATACTATTTGTCCTTAAATCTTAAGAAATATTTTCAAATCTTCACAACTTTACACAAAATAAAGGTTTAGTCGAACTTTTAAAGCTATAACTGCCTTAATCCAAGGTTTCGAAAGAGGCTGGCCCTCAACTTAGACCAAGGCTCGTAGGCAAGAAGATAATTCGTAATAAGATTCGGAGATTATATTATTTACAGACATATTTAAACTACTGAAAGCCTGATTCAGCAATTTGTTAGCTATTAACAGTGGAAACTGTGGTTGAATTAAAATAATTACGCGAATTATCGCCAGCTTCGTTTGAATATTTTGTGGTTATGAATTCTATATTTGGGAATCCTATCAACTATATACTGTTTGCTAACAAGTTTAAATACAAGGAAGGTTGAAGGTAGAATGTTCATGGTTGAATGCTCTTAAACAGTATCTGCTTAATATTTTCAGAGTTTGTTATGAAATGAGATGTATTCCTTCCTTATGCAAGCCGTAAGAAGCCAAGTGTGTGTTATTGAATTGTAAACTAATATAGAATATTAGCTATCTATCTAAAACGGCAAACGTTGTTCAGCCATATAATAAAAAAATGAAAAAGGAGAGTTATTTTTTTTCCGCTCTGGCTCATACCTACCAAATCTTATATATAAAATTCTCTTGTCACAATGTTAGTTACCATACTCCTCCGAAACGGCTAGACCGATTTTTATGAAATTTTGTGTTTACATCGGGTAGGTCTGAGAATCGGCCAACATCTATTTTTCACAAGGGTGACCCAGCCGATTTTTTTTTCAATATTACCTAGCAATAATGTATATGGCAAAACCACGTTTGCCGGGTCAGCTAGTATACAATAAAAATCATTAAAATCGGTCGAGCGTTTCGGAGGAGTTCGACCACAAACACCGTGACACAAGATATTTATATATAAGATTTAATTTACATGGGTAATGTTGTACTAATTGGTTACTGGCTTACTATAATAATACAAACGAGGAGAGAATAGACAGATAGATGTTTGTTACTTTATAACGCCAGAACGGCTGAGTGAATTTGGATGTAATTTGGAACTAGACAATGGTCTGAAATAACACACATTCGACATCAGGGCGAGTGAAGACGCTGACACAATCTAGGTTGTTATATCTTTTGAATTTTAACGTTTAATTACTATAAATACATTTATGTCAAGTCTATGTCTTAATTACGCTTATCTATCACGTGTTTTTGTTTGGCGTTCAATCTTTATCTATGTACAAATAATAATTAAAGAAAAAAGATAAAAATGATATAAAGTAAACTAGTTGTATGTTACACCATGTCAAACATACTCGTATAAGCATTAAAATTAAACGGTACCTTTTAAATATTTTAAAACTTCAGTATCTGACAAATTCTACAGATATTCTCAAGAAGATGTCAATCTTATTGAATGGATGTTCAGTAAAAGAAGCCACGGTCGTTTTTCTAATCGTGTTAACTTAATTTTTGAAGTTTTATTTTTTATTATTAGTAAAACAAGGAATATGCAGATTCATTAAATCGGATGTCAAATCTCGGTAGCGACTGGTGACTATAAAGCAGTCTGCAATGAAAAAAAATATGTATCCTTTTTATATTTTGATCTGTGAAGTAGTAAGATTTAGTCTCGTGTAACCTTGTCTTTCACGAATGGCATGTAATATTATTTTTTATAAATAATAAAATACTTAGATACATTAAAATACTTTACTAATGTCTTTTGTATGTGCAAAGTTAACCTTAGATAGCTTCCGTTATACGCACACAAGGAAACCAACTATAATAAGTATCTACTTACATTTTTCTTAAACTTCTACATGTAGGTCAGTTTCAAGGTTTAATAATTGCAGTAACTATTATTGTAAATAATTATGTTTATAGGACTGTAAATTGCCGTAGTTAGAGTAAACGTGACAACCTCTCCTGTTAGTTGTAACCGTTAGCTATATTATTGGCCGCCGGGAGTCCCGCAAGTATCTTACAGATGCTGTTTATAGAATTTCAGAAACTGTTAGATATTTGTATATACTCAACGTTTAGAATTAATATATTATTTAAATTCTGGTCGTTGGTTAGATTAGCTCTTGAGGTTTTATTTAGTGATTTTCGTAATAACCAGATTACGGTTATTGGTAAGAAATATTGGCAGACTTGGTCGGAAAAATTGGCTATTTTTGTATCTTGCAACGAGATTGGAATTGGAAACCTAATAAAACGCTCATGATCCCGACAGCGAAGACGAAGTGTTTTGTGACTACGATGTAAACGAGTTAACTTATGATGTGTATGTAAAAACACAACTTGCTACAAACGCATGTAAGCTATCGGAGCCGGAGCATGAAATGTACCCAAAGGTCGTGTTTTCATAATTACAACCTTGTCAGTTGTTACACACGAGATAACAATTTAACTATGGTCTAGGCAAGTAGTAAATATATCGTGACCATAACATATCTGCCTCAAAGAGTAACTTGTAAGCGCTACAGATAGAAAACATTCGTAAACTAATCGTCTTTAAATTTATACGTTATTGTTCAAAGAAGTAAAAGTGGAATGCCAAAATTCACATTCGCAATCTTAATCGCCAAAACTAGACAACGCACTGTGTGAAAGTGAGACTCCTTCATTATTAACCAGAGCGTGGTCTATTAAAAAGTATAATAATAAAAGTGATGTGAAACTAACCGAGGGCAATACATATCCGTTACGCGGAGGCATCAAATCTCACCAAGTCGTGAACAAAACCTCCCACATTGTCTTCTAAAACAATTTTACACTACTCATTTAAAAAAAAAAGCTTCATTAAACAAACGAGATACGAAGATCTAAAGAAAATGTACAAAGTTTCACACATTGAACAAACTGCCTACTAAGATCAATGAACCATGGTATATTATGCCCAAAAAGACGAGCACGCAAGGCCGGCCCACATTAGACAGAGACAAAACGCCGGGCTCTAGGCTCGTAATACCTGTAATCGATTTAGGAGAGCGGGAGATTTAGAACCGCAACGCCCCCCGCTCGTGATCGAGATTCGGTAATTAGTATAATAATTTCATTTGGGCCCGGTGGATTATACGTGGAGACACGCCGTGTACGCACATGTAATCCCTTGTCCGTATAATCCATCCCAGACTAGTAGAAATTACTTTGTATGCTCAGAACTATAATCGAAAGTCTTTATTGTTATAGTTAGACATAACAAAAATTAAGAATTTTCAAAGTAATTCGTTGTTCAAACAATGAGTTAGCCGAAACTTCGATCGTTGAAAATCACGTACGCGCCGCTCATACCAATCTATCGAGCCCTTTTATAGAGGAACCTTCAGGTAATGTTTAGTTGATCTATTAAATTGGACGTGCAACAACCATATTATGTAAGGCGCGTACCGAATATTTTTGCTCATTGTTTGCAGAAGTAATTGTTACGGTCGCGCGACAAATCCTGCTGTTCGTTATTGAGGAAACAAAAGTCTTCTGTTACATTTGTGCACGAAGTAGTTCCAAGCAAGGCTGTCTCCCTACATGTTTTGATGGGAACGACCTAAAATTACTAGCAATGATCAATGATACACATATTATCTGTTAGATGTGTGTATGTGTAAATTGTATGGTTTGTTATAGGATCGGTGAGAAAATTGTTTCCGGCACGCAACACACGGCGAATTCGAATCGCATTTTTGGAATTCAAAAGTCAACAAAAACTTTAGTAATATAGTTTTAACTTTAGGATTAACTTTCGGTAATTATATAAGCATCCGGCACATCGTACACATATATCATCGAATGCCACCAATCCTCGAAAGTTAATGAGTATAGGAGGCATTCCCTCTTCGTTCGGACAGCGCAGGCGCCCGGGGCAGCGCGCGCGCCGGTCACGTACCCACCGCGCGTTCACGACAGGTGTGCGAGGTGTGCCTTCAAGCGCCCGCCAGCCACCACTCATTGTACACATAGATCTGTGATAGCCAACCAGATAACGATGAGGCTACCCATGCTTGACGTCTTGATACTTACTGTATAACAGATGAATAGAAGATGATGCAGCGAGATCTAATCTTATGTATCTAGTAGTTATTCAATTAACAGTGACCGCATCCAAACGAAGCTTGATAAGCCAAATCAAAGTCGATATTTAGCATGCCAGACAGCTTGGTATGTAACAGAAAACATTTGTTATTAAACTAAGTGACGCTGTTTTCAACGTGGAGCGTCTGTATTATACTTTCACCGCAACATGTGTGCTTGTGCCCGGAGGCCGAACCTCTTGACCATAATTCATCGTCGAACAGCTGCCATTGATGATTCCTACGACCACTTCCAAGTCGTTTGGTAACAATGCACCAACATCCTGACGTTCTAAATTACTGAGTGTTCGCTGTCTTGTTCAATACGATTTAAGAGAGTCGGTCCTCTGGGTAGCGTGCGGAATATAAAATTTTAAGAAAAGTATTCCAACACTACTAGTAATTTTAATAACATGATACAATAACGCTCGTCTGTATACATAAGGTTAAATTATAATGAAGGTCCCCTAAAGATAATCACACACGATGGACCATCATCGCCTAAGGCCTAACAACGATGTATTCACGAATGCATCGCTGGCGGAAAGGAAAGCTGATTACTGGCCTCTGGTCAACACGATACACTATCATGTCATTTACCTGAAGCTTCTAAAAAAGTATAGGCGGAATGTA